TCTAATAAACTTGTGATCTCCTTTCAGGCGCTGGTTCACCATCCAAAACAATCAGCTAGTTTACCAGAAGAAATTTAAGGTATGTCAAGTGACTTTCTGCACGGCCACCATGACAGTCATGCACGCGTTTGACTCCCAGCGCAAACATCTCTCTGTGTATTTTTAACTGGACGGCACAGCTGTGCGCCTGGTTTCTGTGTGTTTGATAGAAAGAGCTCACAATAAAGTCCTCTTATATACTGGAAAAGTTTAGTTTTTTTTTTAATGAATCTCTACTTTACGTACATTTATTCTTGTCAGAATATAAAAACTCTCCAACCACACAGGTTTAGAGACAAGTCTGCAACCACAGGTTGCTAGGGAAAAAATCTTTTCAATGACCAGTTGGAGAGCGGTTGCCGGATGTTGCTAATGAAATTGATCAGAAAGAGGGTGCTGCACCAAAAACTAGTCACCGAGCTTTAGTGAACCGAGGAAGAGTCGTGCTTCTGTAAACATGCTGGGTGCAGCAGTGAGACACAACTTTTATTTTGAAGGCTTAGTCTCAAGGTTTCACTGCTGCTCAGTGAAGAGTTGGTGCATGTGTGCAGACAGCTCAGTGTGCTAGCTACCAAGGCAATTGCAAGGAAGGTTTCAGTGCAGCACCATATACCTCCATGCAGCTTTCACCTGGTGACTGCCAGCAACCACTCTCCAATCAGCACATTTGTCCTTAGCAACCTGTGTTTGCCAAAACATTTAGTTTTGTCCCAGATTATACTACCAAAGTCAAAAGAGTAAGAGCAGTTGGGGCTTTGTTAGATACTCTGCGCTTTGCTTCATGCTACAACAAAATAACCCCAGCTGTAATTATTATCAGTGCGACAGAACTTGTCACTACCAACTTAATAAAAATGTTAAGGAAACTGGACAATATAGTTCTGCGAACAATAACCTTTGTGGTAAAAGAAGTGAGCGCCTGTTGCTGGATGTAAGTCCCTCTGCTGTGCCTGCAGGACAACCCTACAGTGGTGGTAGAAGACCTGAGGCTCTGCACAGTCAAGCACTGCGAGGACATAGAGCGTCGCTTCTGTTTTGAAGTCGTGTCACCCACCAAGTAGGTTTGAGTCAATGACGTTACGCCCTCTGTCAGCTTAATGAGCGCATGAGTATTTTTAAAAAGGTGGCAAGGCGGAGCACCAGCCTACCCGCCTTCTGGTGCCGACACTCCTGCTTTGAGCTGACAGCAGCTGTGTGACGCTTGTCTGCCCCCACAGGAGCTGCATGATGCAGGCAGACTCCGAGAAGCTGCGACAGGCTTGGATCAAAGCTGTCCAGAACAGCATCGCCACTGCCTTCCGCGACAAGGGAGATGACAGCGAGGTAAAAACCCACACATACACCAGAAAGCCAAGATACAAAGTCTTTTGACTCAAAACTAATGTGGCAGGATTTCTATTAATTTTGCAACACTTATTTGTGTAGATTTATGCAAATAACAGAGTTTTTCTTGACTGTTTGCTTCTTGCATTTTTTCCCCTGAAGATCATTTTTTATTTACTCATTTTAATACGTCTGCTTTGTCCTTTATTTTTGTCTGTGCGCCTTCCCCGTTTCTTTCCTGTCAGAAGCTGGATAGGAAGTCGTCCACGTCAACAGGGAGCCTGGACTCTGGAGGGGAGCCAAAGGAGAGATCACTGAAAGGAGAGAGTGCCCTGCAGAAAGTCCTGGCCATCCCAGGCAATGTTTGCTGCTGCGACTGTGGGCAGCCGGAGCCCCGCTGGGCCAGCATCAACCTGGGCATCACCCTGTGTATACAGTGCTCTGGCATCCACAGGTACAATGCTATATTTTCATAAGCAAATCCTTATAACAGGTCTTTGATTATTGCTGTGAGCAACTTCTTACATAAAGATGAAGCAAAACATAACAAAGGATTAAAGGAAAATATCAAATTCTTAAGTAACCAACTTTTAATTGCTTAGAAAATTTAAAGAAATTAAAAAAGAAGAAAACTAGGGACGTTTCTGGAACATTTTATTTATTTGTCTACCACGCTGCAGGAATGCAGTTCATTAAGAGTTCATATTAGGTCTGTGAAAACTAGAAGTTATGCAAAGTATGTTGGCTCCAGTATATAAAATCCTCCGTCGGGATCACAGGGTGAATGCTTTGCGCAGATGTCTTCAGGGGTTTCTGAACTGTAAACTCACTGGTGTGTGAACTGAGCTGTTGGGATGTTGTGATAACCTTTAATTATTTTCCTGGGTAAATGTAATTAAAGTTTAATATAGATAAAAAGTGTCGCTTCCCACGCTTTCACAATACAGCATTGATCATCAAGGATACCAACCCAAAAATACACTGGGTCTTTTTAAATTTTCCTGATTTGTGTGAATTTAGTAAGATTTTTAGAGGACACATCAAAAACATTTTTTCCTTTCCAACTACGTGCATTTGTATATTTCACAGACAGTGGGACTGTGTTGTCTGTAAATCTGTTCTCTCCATACTGTGCATGGGTTTTTGTGAGTAAACATGTGAATCTGCAGACCACAGTTTTCACCACGAAGCTAAAACAAAAACATTTTGTCGCTTTCACAATTTAAAGTACACAGCGCTGACACTGTCTTGCTTTTTTTTCCTGCTTCTGCCACCTACAGGAGTCTGGGAGTGCATTTCTCCAAGGTTCGTTCTTTGACTTTGGACACTTGGGAACCAGAACTGCTAAAGGTGAGTAAGAAGAAGGTTTACAAACAAATGCACATGAATGGTCTGCCTTGGTTACACACACAGTTTTTATTTTGTTATCACTCTGCCTATTAATAAGATGCATTAAGGATCAGGAAGAGTAACATATGGCTGGAGGAACAGGGGCGATCGTGGCTCAAGAGTTGGGAGTTCGTCTTGTAATCGGAAGGTTGCTGGTTCGAGCCCCGGCTTGGACAGTCTCGGTCGTAACCGCATTAACGCGGTAAATCTTCGTTAGCAAGTTAACACTGATCACCCCATGCAAGGGGCTGCACGGTGCTAATGCGTTAACAAGCTAACTGCATTAACGCGTTGTTGCCATTGAACTCACTGATTCATGTTGCTTTCTTACTAGAAAAATGAAAATGAATGATAATAATTAATTAAAAAATTTAAAAAAAAATAAAAAATTAAATTAAATTAATTATTTATTTAAATTTATAATTTATTTATTTATTATTATTATTAAATTAAATTAAAAATGAATTCGTCTTGTAATCGGAAGGTTGCTGGTTCGAGCCCCGGCTCAGACAATCTCAGTCGTTGTGTCCTTGGGCAAGACACTTCACCCGTTGCCTACTGGTGGTGGTCAGAGGGTCTGGTGGCGCCAGTGTCCGGCAGCCTCGCCTCTGTCAGTGCGCCCCAGGGTGGCTGTGGCTACAATGTAGCTGCCATCACCAGTGTGTGAATGTGTGGATGACTGGTTGGGAAAAGCGCTTTACAAATACAGGCCATTTACCATTTATCATTAGTCCACTAATGTTAATTTACATGTTTTCCAGTTAATGTGTGAACTGGGCAACAAAGTAATCAACCAGATCTATGAAGCTCGGCGAGAGGAGCTTGGAGCAAGAAAACCACAGCCGGGAGATCCGAGGTACCGAGTTACAAGCGAGCATGCTTGTAATTTCAGACCAAAAGATTGCTTTTGTAACCTATTTTGTTTCCTAGTAAATTGTACTTAAGACTCACTGACGGCCAACTTTCATTTTCACTTCATTCATAAATGAAACTTTTTTCTGGTTCGCTCACAGGCACGAGGTCGAGGCCTACATCAAAGCCAAGTATGTGGATCGTCGATTTGTACGCCGGCCGTCCGACGAGGAGCTTCGCAGCAAAGTGGTCTCTCTGAGCAAACAGGAGAAGAGGCTGAGCGGCAACTCTGAGCACATGCCACCAAAAGCGCCTCCACCCACACCAAAACTTCGACCTGGTTCGAATGCTTCAGGGCAGTCAGGTCAGTTCACAGCTTTAAACCAACAGTTAGCTTCGCTGCAAGCCTCGGGATTCGAACTGTTAGTAGTCAGTGGATCGTTGCCTCCAGAACATATTTTGTAATATTATTTTATACTTTCTTTTTTTTTTTACATGTTGTTGTTTTCTTTTTCATTTAAATGTATCTTTTAATTAATTTCTTTTAATAGCACCCAAACAAAATTAATGAATCTGATTTCAGAGTTTGGTTGTTTCTCCCTCAGAATCAGAACTTTCTCCAGTAAAAACAAACAAACTAAATAAATACATCACATGAAGAAGGATTTGCTCGTGCGACGCTTCCTACCATGAAGAAGTGTCCACCCATCGGCATACTGCATGTTCTTTGTGAATAGCGTATGTCTCGGCTCTCTTTGCCTCCCATTGCTTTCCGTAGAGTCTGTCTCTTCCAGCGTCAGCCGAGCCAGTAGTCTAACTGTCTGTGCTTCCACCCTGCTTTTCCCCTTTCCCTAAATCTCTCTGCCCTTTCCTCCCCCTCTGGCTGTTCTGTGCTTCCGAACTAACCCCCGCCCTGACTGCCTCTCCCTATAACCCCACCCTGCCACTCAATTTACACCCTTCGCTCTCCAAACTCCCATCATCCCTTGCGTAGCTGCTGCCAGTGGTGCCGAGGCCCGCCGGGACTCTCTCTTCTGTCCTGACGAGCTTGACTCGCTCTTCTCCTACTTTGACACCTCCTCCAAGCTCAGGAGCAGTAAGTACCGAATGCTTAGTGTTTCGCTTGCTTTCCATCCCCCGTGTCCATTTGAAGTCACGGCGTTGGGCTGAGGACTAACAACCCTTCATCCTCCTCATTTCCTTCTTCATACGGACCGTGCTAATGAGCCATCCAGTCACGTTTTCCGTATTGCATTTTTTCTTTTGGACTGAGAGGTGGGGAGTGTTTCTCACACATGGTTTTGTTTAGTGTGTTGGTATTTTTGCATATATCTGTGTCATATTTTTGATTTTTAGGGACCTGGAATTTAAGGTGAAGGCGGGAATCTGTCATCCGGCTCTCTTTCTCTTCCCACACTGTCGGCACCTTGAGTAAAAAATATTAGGAGCACCTGCTGTTTCTGTTAATCAGGCTGAAATAAATTTGAGAGGCCGAACACATCGATTGGCTACAAACAAGCTCTGATAGATGTTACTTTCCACTGCCAGAAACAAGCAGCAGCAGCAGCAGCTCCTTTTATTTCATACACTCAGCAAATATCTTCACGTTCTTCTACAAGCAGTGACTCAGACTCTGTTTTACAGTAAAAAGTGCAGACAGCGGCATCCAGAACAGTGCTGATGGGAGCAGGGAGATGCTGGCCAACACCCCCTCCAATGACAGCCTGGCAGATGCAGGTAAGACGCACTCACCTCTGCTGTCTTCTGTGCTGAGACGCTGAGATCCTGAGAGAGAAATAGGGCATCATGCAATCATACATACACTGCTTTGTGTTGTACGGCGTGTTGTAGAAGGTATAGTATTTTTCAGTTTCAGTCTTCTCATTTTCAGAACCCGCTGAGACTCCACCCATGCCCATGCCCGCCACACTGCCTCCTCCGTCACCCTGTAAGGAGATGGTTTTCTATGAGCCCAAGGAGTACAGCCCGGGTCTTCAGCTCTACTGGGCGTCCTGCGCCCGCAGCCTGCCGGACATGGCAGAGGC